GTTTTAATAAGATAATTTTTAGGTCAACACTATCCTTTTTTTTTTTTTTAAAAAATCATTATCTAACAATAAAATTCCCGTAACAAATGGTAGTGCGTAGGTTTATATAATAAGCTAACGTGCGCCGAGGAGCAATCGAGCGAGAAGATCTGAAGAGATGGCGGTCCGAGCAACGGTGTCGCGTTTCCCGATTGATGCGGATGCTCAGGAGGCGTCGGGACTCCCCTGGGGACTGACAGTAACACCATTCGCAGCCAAAGACGAGAACGGCATCGGACCAGCGTACGGATCCAACGGCCATCTTCTCCCTCGGTGCGAGAACTGCTACGCCTACTTCAGCACCTACGGTCAACTCGACCAGTGGGCTTGGAATTGCGCGCTCTGCGGCACTCTCAATGGACTCACTTCCGATGTAATTGCTCGCTACTCTAATCCTCACTCGATCCCTGAGATGTCTTCCTCCTTCATTGATCTCGAGTTGCCTCGTACGTTCTTCTTCTCCTCTCTTCTACCCATCATCCTTTTCGTTTTCCTTTCATTCCTGTCTCAGTTTCTGCTCCATTCCAGTGGAGGAAGAAATGACGCAAGCGCACCCTGTATATGTCGCCGCCATCGATCTCTCCTGTAAGCCAAATCTAGAGTTTTGTCTAGATTCTAGTTCCAGTCTTGCACTCTAGTGTTGCTCATATCTACTTTTCTCAATCTGCAGCTTCTGAGGAGTTTTTGGAGCTCACTAAAAGTGCATTACTAGCTGCTCTGGAAGGTAATTCCATACAGCAGAGGTCCTCTTGACTTTTCTTCTGAGGCTGAATCGTGTTTTCCATTTTGCAGCCTTAAGTCCAGGGTCTCTCTTTGGTCTTGCTACCTTTAGCCACAAAATAGGACTATATGATGTTCAAGGACCTATACCAGTTGTAAAGAATGTGTTTATTCCCCCTGATGTGGAGAGCAGCTTATCATTAGAACTCGAGGATGTCATGCCGTTGCTTCAATTTTTGGCTCCAGTATGGTCATTTTCCTGTTGCTTGTTTCCGTCTTCATTCATGGTGATTCACATGGCTTGGAACACCTGTAGGCAGACTAAGTTTCCTTTCTACACTTCCTGCAGGTAGAAACTTGCAAGGATCGTATTGCTGCTGCTCTTGAGACACTCAGACCAATAACTTCTTGGGAGAGGTCATCTGGAGCAGCTCAAGGGCTGGATAGTGTGTTGATGGGTGGTAGAGGCTTTGGCACAGCATTGGAAGCCCTCTTCAACTATCTAGGATCTGAATTTGGGAATACATTCGCATTAGGTATAGCAACCCTATACTCTCTATGTTTCGACATTGTCTAGTTTTTTCTCCTCACCGGGTCCTTTTGCACTGCGTAGTGTTTCATTGACTTTATATATGCAGCTAGGGTGTTTGCTTTCCTATCTGGTCCTCCTGATTATGGACGTGGACAGCTGGATACAAGTAGGTATGGCGAACAATATGCAAGTAAAAGAGTGGATGCTGATCGGGCTCTACTTCCTGAGCAAACACCATTCTACAAAGACATAGTAAGTCTTATTTAATATTTCTATCTCCAAGGTGGATATATTTTGAGCTTAGAACTGACTGTTGTTTTATAGGCCACCATAGCTGTCCAATCAGGTGTGTGCGTAGACGTATTTGCAGTTACAAACGAGTACACAGATTTAGCATCTCTGAAGTTCCTTAGCATTGAAAGTGGTGGCTCGCTGTTTTTGTACTCAAGTACTGATGATTCAACTCTTCCCCAAGACATGTTAGTTCTGATGCTTGGCCAGCAGTAGTTTTGCCACTTTAATTGAAAGATGGCATGCTGTGTTTTCTTCATGTGTTACTAAATTAATTTAAACGAAATTGCAATATGTTCTCTTGCAGGTTTCGGATGCTTAACCGGCCGTATGCATTCAATTGTGTCTTGAGATTGAGGACGTCGACTGAATTCAACCCTGGCAACTCTGTATGTGGTTTTAGTGAGGAATATAGTTCAGATGATGCTTTTTTTTTTCGTTTCATGCTTTAGCTAACAGTTTAGCCTTGCTTGCAGTTTGGTCACTTTTTTCCTGATCCACAGTATGAGAACCTTCAACATATCATCTCCTGTGATTCGTATGCAACATATGCTTATGACTTCGATTTTGCAGATAATACTGGATTTTCCAGGTAAACTAAAAGATAGCTGCTTTTTCCTATAAACAATTTCATGATCAGGTGGAAGGGTTAAAATTGATATTCTTTCGATACGCTCGCAGGGTTTGGTTTGTAAAATTGCTAGTCATTTTGAACATCTATTTTGACTGTCACAATATCTGTTGATAGTCATTGCCAGACCTCCAATCAAATATTATCGCTATTTAAAATTATTGCACTTTTCACCAAATTTTTTTGAATCCACGGGGAAAAAAATGTAAGCAATTTAGAAGAAGTCACCAATTTGATAATCAGACTTGGCACTCAAAATGCTAACTTCTTGTTGCTCATTAACTTTTCCAGACATTCTGGAGAGCAACCTGTGGTGCAAATTGCATTCCAGTACACAGTTATTGTACCTCCCGAGGGAGTGTCGAATTCAGATATGTCATCTTCAAGCAGGTATGATTTAATCCATGGTAAAGCTGTTGATTGATCATTGTAGTCATTGTCCGCCAGTGGCAAACTAGTTAATATGGCACTAAGCTTTATATTGATTTTTTATCATTTAAACATTCATAGTATTTTGTATTCTAGAAATGAGTCTCATACCTGGTACAGTGGTCCATCCTGCAGCCTAGAGTTAATAAGAACCGAACTACCCTAACGTGACCTTGTACACAGTTAATCCAGAGCCCAGAATTGCTATCCGTGCTGAGCAATACTTTGGATCTTGTAGTGTTTCGTTCTAGAGTTGATCTAATCTATGTTACGCAGAGGCAAACACACACTTCAGAGACGACTAAGGATCAGAACCATGCAATTTGGAACTGCCCTCAACATCAATGAAATTTACGACAGTGTGGATCATGAAGTTGTTCTCTCATTACTCGTTCACAAAGTAAAAGTCATATCATGTTTTTAATCTTGGTTACAGCAAGGTAAATCAATGATTAACCAGCTACTCATGTTTTTATTTTCCTAATTAACGTTCTGCAGGTTATTGTAGCCTCTCTAGCTGATGGAGTCCGAGAAGGGAGGGCATTGCTTCATGATTGGCTAGTAATCCTAACAGCACAATACAATGATGCCTTCAATCTCGTCCAATACAAAAATGGAAAGAAGTCGATGAGTTCTCAGATTGACGTCTCGTTTTCACAATGTCCTCAACTTCAGGCTTTGCCTCGGTTAGTCTTTGCCTTGCTCCGTAATCCCCTTCTCCGGTTTCATGAAGAAGGTGTTCATCCTGATTACAGAATCTACTTGCAATGCCTTTTCAGGTAATCCCTCTCATACCTACAATATCAATAACCTAACGAGTTGCTGTGAACTGTATCAATCAATAACCTACATTATTAATCCAAAACAAACACAATGCAGTGTGTTGGATCCGGGCTCCCTTCATTGCGGGATTTACCCAGCTCTAATGTCATACTCAACACCGGATAAAGAGGCGTATCCGCGCCATTCATTGAGTCGTGCAGCATTGATAACAAGTGGTAGTCCGATATTTTTCCTAGACGCATATACCACTTTGATTGTCTTCTATTCATCAATAGTAGACCCTTCAGTTCCTTTCCCTCCACCACAAGACTGTAAGTTTGCTCACTAAAGTAAATCCAAATCAACCACCTTCTGATCTGTTAGGTTATATATTTATTTTGAAATCATTATCTCACAGCTTTATTGAGGAAGACCATAAATAAGGTGAAGCAAGAAAGAAGCATCACACCGAAACTGATGTTTATCCGAGCAGGACAAGACGACGCTACTGCCTTTGAGAGCTATCTTATAGAAGAACAAGATGTGGATGGTAGCGGTTTTGCTAGCACCATGGGTTTTGTGTCTTTCCTCGAAGATATTTCACGGAGCGTCGCTGAATACATGAAGTGAAAGCAACAGATGCCTTTTGGGTTTTTATATATGCAAACACAAAAATTCCAAATGTGTTAAAAACGTTTCCTTAAGTGTTTCGTTCTTCTTGTAACATTTTCTTAGACTAGCATCCCAACTTTGTTGCTTTCTAAAACAAAAAGTAATAATTAGGTAAGAAACTTGCCCTGCTCACCAATCTTATGAGATTTCGGACCTCTATTAGTTTTGTGGTTACAGAATTTCTAAACTTCACTAGAAAGAAAGAGCAAAACATTTCGATATGAGGTCTACAACATGCTCATGGTAGCTAAAAAGTTAATCCATTACCATTATACAAAATCATAAGCCTGAAATTCAATCATCCTCTCCCTCTTCACCACTTGCG